GGTACACGCGTGTCCTGCAGACACGATGTTGCCTACCCATCAGGCGCTATGAGCGCTCGCAGAGGCGCTAAACCTGGCAGTTGTTTCGTCACGGCGCGAATGACGGATGCACTTTCTGGATGATCCCTCCCTTATCAGGCAACCTGACTGGCTCAAATGTGTTTGAGCTCTGGGTCCCCAGCAGGGTAACCCGCGCGGACTTTGCCGCCTAGAGTAAGCCGGCCTCCCGGCCTAGGCGGCCGTGCCGCTCCAATGTGCCGCGGCCGGCGGTGGCGGCTGCAAACAAATAACCGACCGGCCGCCCTCCTGCTCCACCCCACTCCTGTAGAGAAAGCTGCCTGCTGCGCCCGCCTCCCTCCTGCCTCCTGCCTCCTCTTTGGCGCAACGCTATGCCTCGCCTCCTGGCCTGGGGCCTGGCCTACAAGCGCTGCCGGTCCCCCCGGCCCGACTGCATCGCATCGCGCTCGAAGGAAAGGAAAAGGAAAGGGAAGGCCTGTCGTGGAGCGCGCGGGCCGGTTTGCAGCTGCCGGACCCATAGGCAGCGGGGTCCAGGGAAGAGGGGACAATGAGCAGGAGAGAGGAGAGGGGCTGCCGTGGGACTGCTCGCTAAACGCCAAACAGAAACACCCGAAATTTTAATTTAATGTAAAAGTCTGACACAAATCGCTAGCCTTTGCTTCTTCTTTAACACTTTATTCTTTAGTTGCCAAAATGGACTCTTGTCTTAAAAGAAAAGACAATTTTGATCGCTACCTTCACTTTTTCATTGTTACAGGAAATAATGATGGGATTTGATGCTGCCATTATGATGAGCCGTACATTCCTGAAATCGCCACAAGTAACAACATTAAACTGGATTGGTCCTTAAAGCTTTGGAGTTCTAGTTAATGTTGTTTCCGTTTGCTTGTATACCCTCTTTGGTAAGTACTTTTTCTCATATTCTTAAAATATTTGTGGGGAATGACCTTTCAAGGGATAACCCCTCCTATTCTCCTACACATTTGCATATCTAAACTTGAATTTTAACTATCCATCTATCAATCTTTATTTTATTTCAGCAATTGTACTTGTGGGGGCCCAGGATTGAACACCTACGAGTTGGGGAGTTGCAATAATGTGGTTGCGCAGTGAACAGCGCGAAACATATAGAAGGGGGCGTCGAACAAAAAAGTCCGGTCCCAGTATAAGCAGTGGATCTGCAAGTTCAAGTCCAAGAAAAAGCAATTCTGAACTTGGTGTTACCAGTTCAGGGCGTTCCACCAAGATTTCTCGCTGTCGGCGGCGATCGAGAAACCTTCTTCAAGAAGTATGTTTATGAACATTTGCTTATTGTAAAGTCTGGCTGAACTCAAAATAAGTCGAAAGACTGAATAAAAGTTGTGTTGTATTAGATAAGATTCTTCCTCTGTTTAGAATTGTTGTGAAAACGTGCTTCCACAAGAAACTCCGGACGACGTGTGTCACAAGACGTGCAGTGTGAAGACTGGAAGCAGCAGCAAAACTGAGCCCTGCCTACCAGTTCCAGGAACATCTGTTCTTTCAATTGTATGTATCTTTTGAAAATTGCCATTTTAGTTCCAACGTTCCCCTGATATTTTTCATTTACCCTTTGTGTTTGGGATTGTTATGCCAGGATTCCAACATGTGTGAAGAAAGCAAAGAAAATTCAATGCCTGTTGCAACTGCCCCACCCTCTGATTCTACTGTTTTTAACGTTTATCAAACTGATGACACCCCAACCGATGTTGACATTGATCTGACATGCTTACTTGAAGAGGAAGCCAAAGCTGGTAATTCAGGTAGGCTGTTCATGCTTTGTATTTTGTAATAAATTATAAAATTTACAGAGCTAAATTTATTTAAATGATAATTTGGGTTGTCTTTAAAAATTATTACTTTTAATTTTCAAATATAGAATTAGCGTTGCAGTGCTATGCAATGGCTGCTGCAGTTGTTGCACAGCAGCAACAGGAAGAGGAAGAACAAAAAAGAGCTCAGCAAAATCAACTGCAACTGGATGTAGTTAATTCTCTCCATGTTATGAATAATAATTCTGCTGGTGAAGACGATGATGATACAAGAGATTTATCATGTTATGAAGATACATCCACCATGAACAAAGATGGAACAATGATGACTCAAGTTCAACCTGAAACCTCAGGGGTACGTTCAATATTTTTTATTAATTTTATTTTGACTAAGAGACTTCTTATGACTCATCCTCAAATTTTAAATGTACATTGTACTAATTAATCAATGTTTCATCAATGTTTCAATACAGTCATGTGAGGAAGAGTGGGAGCCATTTGATCCCTATCAGTTCATAAAACAGTTGCCTCCTCTCACCAATGAAATGCGCTCTCGTTGTCCAGCTTTGCCTTTGAAAACTCGCAGCAGCCCTGAATTTTCTCTTGTTCTTGATTTGGTAAGAATTCTTTCTTTCTGTTGACTGGACTTGTAAAGAGTAAGAGTTTATTATATCTTTGAAATTTACGTGCTTTATTTATTGTGTATTGCAGGATGAAACCTTGGTGCACTGCAGCCTTCAAGAGCTTGAAGGTGCAGCATTTTCTTTTCCAGTGCTTTTTCAAGAATGCTCTTACACAGTTTTTGTGCGCACAAGGCCATATTTTAAGGAATTCTTGGAACGATGCTCACGGTTGTTTGAGGTAATACTCTTTACGGCCTCAAAGCGTGTTTATGCTGACAAGCTGCTGAATCTGTTGGATCCAAGAAGAGAACTCATCAAGTGAGTTAAAAATTTCTGTTTTTATTTTAAATTGGCATCCTCCAACATGTACTGACTACTTTTGCTGTTTTTAGGTATCGACTTTTTCGAGAACATTGTGTTTGTGTGCAAGGAAACTATGTTAAGGATTTGTCCATTCTAGGCCGTGATCTCTCACGAACAATTATTGTGGACAATTCTCCGCAAGCTTTTGGCTATCAGGTACAACTTAGTTAGATAATTAAAAGTTCACTCTTTAGGTACAGAGACTGATGAACGTTCTCTATGTTTTCAGCTGGAAAATGGAATTCCCATTGAAAGTTGGTTTGTGGACAGATCTGACAAAGAGTTGTTGAAGCTTTTGCCCTTCCTTGAAAGCTTGGTTTCTAAAGTGAGTGTCTACTGAAGTATAATGTGATTTGTTGAGTACTTACGTCTGTCATGCATACTATACTTGAATGTGATTGTAATTTTAATTTTGTACTCTTTGTTATTTCAGAATGAGGATGTACGTCCACACATTCGGGATAAGTATCGCCTTTTTAGACTTCTTCCTCCTGATTAAATCAAAATTAATTTACTTGTATCACATCTGTTCTGTTTGGCGGTGTAGTGAGTGTGAAAAGAAAATGACACCATCATTGAGATGTTAAGCCAACATTTTAAATGACGTTTTATGTACTTTAAATGTTTTAAAATATTTATGAACATGTATCACTATAGTGCTTGTAAACTATCCTATGAATGTTTACCCTTTTAGTCAATATTTTTCTTTCCTTTAGATTGTATGCATTTCAGTTATTTACTTATTGTAGTGAGAATTTTATAACATTTTACGTTCTTTTTTTTTTATGAATGGTTTATGATTTATATCATCACACTTCTGTTGTAATACTTTATAACAATGTTGCTTTTTACATGTCTAAAACTGCATGATTTTTGTCTCATGCTTGTATTTTAGAGTTGCCATTATTTACAAGAGTTCATGCTTAGAATCGTTACCAATTGCTGATTCTTCTGCTGATCTCGTAAATCGTTCTATATCTTTGAAGTGTATATATTTATCCTTTCACAGATGTGTTATTTTGACTTTTACAAATATGACACGCATACCCACTCTTAGTCATGTGCATCTATCAAAATAAATAATAATTAAATTTTATTATATACAAATGTTAACAAATGTATAGAATGTGTGTACAGATGTTATTTTAGCTCGACAGTTATAGTATTAGTCATAGTTTCTGAAACTGTTAAAATTAGATTGAAGAAATTCAATTAATGTAGTTGTAATTGAATTGGCCATGGCCCGTGGCAGAGACTTACACTCAAATTTGCTTCAATGTCAGGTGGTTGTTATCGATCTCAGTGTTCATTCATGGAAGTTATTTATTACTGGCTCATAATTCAGTTGGATCATCACATATTGCAATTGATGTAGTGTTTGAAAACTGGCAGTAATGCTGCTAATCCAGACATTCTACTTTTGGTCACATTTCTCACATAGTAGTGCTAAGAAAGAGATTAATCCCTACAGGGATTAATCAGGATGTTAGTCATCCCTTAACTATAAAGCTAAATGAGTCTGTGATAGGAATTCTTTATTTTTATGTTTTGTTTATTTTATGAATAAGTTTTATTTGTCGTGTCACATATTGGAATTGTTGTTCCATGATTTTGTCTGTGAGTATATTTTATGATGATGAATGATCTCCCATAGTCTCCATAAAAGTTTTCTAGGTGGTGAGCTTCTTTGAAAATGGTGAGAGGTGTGCATAAATTGTGGGTTCTTGTGTAACTGGTATTCGAAGAGTTTAAAGGGTAGGCAGGCAACCTGTCTATTCAATTAAAGAAATCTTTTTATGATATTCTATACACAACATTTTTACAAAGTGGCTTTTAAGTTACATTTCTTGGGATGTGTAAAAAAAACATCTTTAACACCATTTTGGCACCCTGAATTATGCATACTTCTCTTGGGAGGTTGAAGGGGTATTTTTGGCATTCATCATTTTCTTGCGACACTGTCACCTACCTGGCTAATTTTTTCCGTGCTGTGTGTCTGTGGGTCTTCATAATGTGTTAAGATATGTGTATGTGCACCTCTTATTGCATTGCTGTATTCATTGTTTGTGCTGTATGAACATGATTAAGTACAAGCAGTACAATTGTCAGGTAATTTGAGGCAAACATAGTAGTTTCTATCTAAACTAAAAAAAAAGGGTCTTAGGAAATTCAGTTTGCTCATCTAAATTTATGAAAAATGAGCATTTTGTAATTACAGTTTGTTTCAAAACTCCATCTCCTGATTATTTTTTTAAGATTTCAAGGTATGTGAAGTGCCTTGATTCTACCCTGGACATCATCATTTGTCCTGCATTAAAATAGATCATTTTAATGTTATCTGTTGAACAGAAAAGTAGCTTAAAAGTGGTCTAAATAATTCCATTACTTTCTAATAAAAATCTGGTTTTTACATACATGCTAACTGACTCACTTGATTTGGATCAGCTTTGGGAGCTGGACTCCTTTTCTGCCTTTCATGTTAAAACAAACATATGGCTTTTTTATGTACTTCCACTACCTAAACTTGTAGTCCACAATAGGGTGATGAAGTCTGGAGACATGAATTAATTTTTTCCGATGGACAACAAAAACATAATTTCAGATTTCTAGATCATTTCTTTGCAAGTTTTTGCTTCACTTACTTACACAGCACTATGGAATCTTTCTTGTTTTGGCATAGCACAATACGAGACCATTGGTGATACACCCACTAACCAGGTAATATATTTTCTTATAGTACAAATTGTAAAGTAAAGGTTACCATTATTATAAATTTCTCAATTTATATTTTTTATTTTGAATCCACTTTCTGAAGAGTACCTTGTTAAGAGATAACAATTATCATAGTATGGCGTTCTTATGAATGTGAATAGTGTATGTGCATTCTCTTATTGGAGGAAATATCTGTTGTGCTGTCTGTATCTCGTCAGGGACAGAACTTGTGATTACACCCTCTTTAAATCAGGACCTTCGTGGTCTCAGTGAAGACTTAACAAGTTAATTAGATGATTGATTAATGTGACCACTTAGCCAGTTTCACAATCTCAGTTTTTTAGTATTACTACTCAGACAAACATGTATGTGAAACATGGTTGTTGTCCGGTCTGCTTTAAAGTACGAATGTAGTTGAAACAGCAGTTTAAACTTCTATCATTACCCTCTCTTGAGGATTCAAATTAAAGTTGCTTGCACTGCTTACTATGGATGTTTAATTCCTGAAACCCATGTTATCTGAGAGGTGAAACTTGTAGGTCTGTTAATTAATGAGGTAATTAATTGTGTTTATTAATCTAATGCGCTACATAGACACATATGCATGGATAGGAAGTAGGATAAGTATAGATTATGAAATGAGAGACCTTTTATTAATCAATAAATTTGTTAGTTCAAATATTGTTTTGGCGCTTTTTGGGACTTTATTAATGGGTTCTGGAAGTTGTTCTTCAGTTACTTTCTCTGTCTATGTTAATAAATGGAGTTGATTGACTTGCCTATGGAAGGTTTCTTAGGCCATAATTATCTTACCAATCCAAATTCCAGTCAGGAAATTTCATTTGCAATTCTGTTTGATTTGACTTTTCTTTATCGTGTCCATCTTAACGTTAACTTTAAAAATTTATGTTCTTTCTAACCACTATGATTCCATCACATCATCTTTCATAACGTTGTTATTGTTTATTTTGTCATCTAGTGATGCAATGGCATATTATGTGTTAGTTATTTGTAGCTTGTCTGTTTAAAATTAAAATAAAAGGATGAAAATGTAGGTTGAGAAAGTAAATGCTCCATAAATAGTTCCTTTTCCTTATTCTCAAGATATAAAAACACATATTTCCATACACTTTTATTAAAAACATTTCAGGAGTGAGGCTTAGGAATAAAATACAAATTTGTAACAAATTAAGAAAATCCTCAACCAAATATAACACTTCTGCATCTACATAAATTCTTACCACAGTCCATATCACACCTAATTGCTATTAAGTTAAAAGCAACCAAAACCACAACCAAGAGGATTGCTTATGCTAATCCTGTGATTCTGGTAGTAAACCTTTTGTACATATCAATGAAAAACTTTACAATAATTATGGGCATTAAAAAAGACTGTGCCTCACCTAAGTGAAAGGATGGGCCCTTTCTAACCATTTCATCTTGAATCTTAGGTCGAATTAGACATCATTGATGATTTTTTGTTTGGCACTAAAACACACATATGAAAATATCTTACCAAAACACCTTGGCGTTCTGAAAAAAAAAGCCAAATTGAGAGACGAAAACGATCTGTAGCAATTACATTTGGATACCAATCAAGACATTAACAGACATTTTTCTTAATATCATCAGAAAATTACGTTAACACTTTCGGTGGGCTTCCCATAAACATTTACATCTGTACAAATGACTTAACTTTTTTAAAGTGGCCACGTTTGACTATTATATACAGCACAGCATAGTTTGAAATAACAAGCTCCAATCAAAACATTGTTCTTGATTAAAACTTTACATTTTGGTCGTGATGATGTAGTGGATCACATAAAATAACTACATTGGTACATGAAAAATAAGAAATAGTGTTTAAAATGTGGAAAATAATCCAGGTGTATAAAATATTAGAAATGAGAAAGCAATGCAGTGACTTTAGGTTCAAAGAGAGCACCAGCGGAGAAATAACAAGATCCTCCAGCCCAAGTATGACAGCCACACTTATCATTTCTTTTTCTTTTGCTTGTTAGCCCTAACTACCTACATTAATTCAGTCAAAATGCAATTACTTTTATGAATACATACACAAAGCAGTGGTTGAAACTGGATGACGAAGAAAACAAAATCAGGTGAGCTAGATTTAAAACAATGCAGAGAAATTCACAATTACAAGGTACTAACAGGCAAATATATGACATATCATAATAAAAATAAAGTAAGAGAAAATTAGTTCAAAGAAAGACAAGAAAGTGAAGCACAATGAAAGAGCAAGAGTCAAGAGGCTCATGCTGCTCAATGTTGCTCATGAAGAGTCTTGTGATGATGAGTGAAATTGACTATATCAAAATAAGGCAAAAGCCACCTGCAATATAAAAACACTACACCATACTGTAAAGTGATAACAAGGGAACTACAATATAAATCTATCTTCATAGCATTACAATTTAAACAAAAACCTAATTTAAAATTATGACATATAAAATCTTTTCTCATACATAAGTGTGTGTCGAGAGTAATATGTGAGCAATGGATCAATCACAGAGAACGTTGTATATTTAGGGCAGCTCTTCTTCGCTGCAACCAGAGCATGAAAAAATGGATCACAACAGGCCAGGCGGTGATAAACAGGACTGCTCGTGGGGAGAGATCCCTGAATGGCCACCACGACGGGTGACGAGATGTGCGTGCCTGTGGAAAATAGAAAAAGGTCTAGCTCAAATACAGCACATAAACAATTATTGTTCAATGATGCATCTACTGGGAATGATGGACTAGTTGTTCAAAATGTCAGCTCACTAGTTTTCTACAGATGAATAGAAACATTAATTTAAAATCATAGATTGCTGTCATAATTTAAAACAAGATTTTTTTTCTCACTTATTTTCAATAATTTAACACTTTTCTCAGAAAGACAGTTATTATCTCTCTCTTACCCTGGACAGCACTTCAGCATGACGACGAATATCTTCACATGAAGCGCAATTTTCAACCAATGGATCATACCCAGCCTGAGAATGAGGCAACAGCAGAACACACGTAATACAAAAAAAAAAGAAAAAAAAAGAAAAGAAAAGAACATGAGAAGAGTGCAAGAATGCAAGACTATAACTACAAAATAAGAGAAAGAAAAACTCCAAAGAAAAACCATGCATTACAGCGCACATCAAAATATGTACAGTGTTTATAAAAAATATACCCCCCCCCAAAAAAAAAAGAGATCAAGCAAAATCAAAGAGGAATAAAGGTGTAAAAATTAAGAAACCTTGAAAGAGGATGCAAATATACTTGGCTATAAAGATACAAATTTCCCTGAATGAAATATTTAAACTAACCTGGTGTGCTTCAAGTGATGCTGGAACACGAGAAAGTGATGCTACTTCTAAGGACCGCACCCTAGCTGTTATGCGATCTAAGTCTTTCTGTAAATGGAGCACAACATCTCTCATCTGCTCAGAGATATCACTGCTTTGGGCTTGAATGGTGCCTGATTGGGTTTGAATGGTGCCTGAAATAGGGTTTAAAGAAACACATTATAAGTAAAGTGTATGAAAATTTCCTGTAGTCTCCTGCAGATAAGAAAGACATAATTGCAAATTTTAATGGACCAGGGAGGTACTTACTTTTCCTTTCAGGTGTGACTTGGCTACCTATTCCTCTAAATCGACTCCTGTCAAAACCTTTTGAATCGGGCCCATAATGTGAGGCGTCTCCATTTAATTTGTGATGTATACCACCATTCATTTGAGAGTAATTATTACGGGAAGACAGTGGTTTCTCACTGACAAACTACTCAAAACGGAAATTCAATTAATATTTTAGGGAGAAAAACTCATGACATGGAAAACATTTAGAGACAGCTATGGAACAAATCTCACCTCACTGCTTTCAACAGTGTCTATAAATTCCTCTTCATCATCATCATCATCATCGTCATCATCATCTAGGCCTTCATCACTAGAACCAGCGTGTCTTTGAGGACTTGCTGACTGACTGCTGGCTGGAGTAGATCCGAGACTAGAGGAAATAGGAGCTCGGGTTGGAGATGCTTCCCTTGATCCTTGATTTAGAATTAAAACTGTTACAAAGATTCAGACTGCACAAAAAACATTCACTCCAAACACTCTTACCAAGAGGCGAATTGCCAATTGGAGACCCAGGCATGGACCTCATTCTTTCAATGGTAGGCCCGAGAAGCAATTCAAGGTCAGCAGCTGGTACAGCTTCATATACTGAATCTAGGCTACCCATAAATTTAGCAACATTGTCCGTATATGACATAGTTTCTACAATCTGTTATGTGAAGAAAGACAAATAAACTTAAAACATGTTTAACAAATGTCATATGCACTAACAATTTCTTGTTTTGTCTCATCTTCTTTACCTGTTTTAGCTCGTCAACATAGTTTTTCATAGCCTCCTCAGCAGGCATATTTCCTAACTTGGCCCATGCATCATACTTCACTTTCTTCACCACCTCCCAGAAGGCAGGTCTAGATCCTTTGCATGGGCCTTCCGATGCCTGTTTGAAATAGGCATAAAACCTGAGCATAAGATCATGAGATGGCTGGAATGCTCCTAGAAAATAAAAAAATCCCAAGTTAGAAAAATACAATTGAACAATTTACTTTTAAAATTTAATAGGTAATTATTTTAAGTATGTTAGTATTTTTATTGCCACTGTATACACAGTGAAGGGCAAGGCTCAGTAAGTTAGTAAAGCGGTCGGGTGGGCTTATTGGGGCACAGGGAAGTCCTTAGTCCTCAGCCCAAGTCCAAGTTCTCTGAAGTCTCACGTCGAGTCAGCGTACCTGGTCCTGTTATGGGGGAAAAGGGGGGAAAGTCAATGTAATTCTCCATTTGTTAATAAATTTATTCATTTATTGCTAGTCTAATGGTCGTTTTATTTTAAAAAAAGGAAACATTTTTACGAATGATTTTTGACGAATCACCACGTAAAAATAAAGGTGTTGTCACTGGCAATTTTTTCTTTGAAAATAAAAGTGTTAACGCTATTCCCTATGATTGCTAGAGTGGTGTACTCCAGCGCCCGCGCGTTTCTACTGGCCTTGACACTGACGACTAGAAAATGGAGACCGATTATTACCCTAGACATACGTGACAAATCGGTGGTACACGATGAGTGTACCTGTGACGCGAAACGGAGGCTCGTATGTTCAACACCCCGTGTCCACGTCACCTACTCTTTGCTAGCTGGCAAAATTATCATTCAATGGCCGAGCTGCACCTTTTTATAGAGTTATCAGACAGCACCAGAAAATCACGCACGACCAAAGTTGAGAGAAGTGAGGCGGCTTAGAACCTAGATCGCTCAAAATGACATCCAAGGGAAGGTCATTGTCGAAATGGAAATTGCAGAGTTGATAAATCCGTGTTCGGCGAGCACAAAATTAACATATTCTATGCGGCGCGACCACAACGTGGTCACGCTTTGCTGGTTTCGCCAGTACCCACCCCACAACCGCACAGAACGTGTTGTGGGGGCGTGGGAGGACCCTCGGTTGGTAGGCAATTTGTGGTGCAATCCTCGGCTTATGGTCTTCCCTACTACACTATCCCCCCCCCCATTTTTTTTGCTCCCGTCTCCGAAGCTTGACTGGGTCGTGGGTCGACTGGGGGGGG